GTGTGGAGGTGAGGGGTGTGGAGGGCGGGGATGGTATGGACGGCAGGTGGTGAGCATGTCAATGCTGAGGGTTCAGAATTCACATGACCCTATGACAGTTGTTGGATTATGAAGCACCCTCCACAGAGACTACAAAGGATGTGCTGGGAACACTCTATCCTAACCTCAGTCCCAGATGTGTCAAGTTCCTTCTGGCCTCAGGGTTCCCTGGAGTAGAGGGTCTCTCAGATCACGAGAGGCTCGCTGGCTTACCATCTCCTCAGGGAGGACTTCTCGCCCCCCATGAACTTGCAATACAATGACTATGGCCCAGGTCAGCCTGTCTCAATTCCATGCATGTTATTACTAATGGATGAATGGCTCAGTCGATCAACCGCGGTGGCTAGTGAGGAAGTGCCCAGCAGCAGGAGAGAAGGGCATTCAGCAGAAGAAACCATTCGGTCAATGCAGGTGCAGCTGGAGAGCAGCTGGGGGGCAGCACAGGCAAGGGGTGCAGAGCGTGCGGGCAGGGGTGCTAAGGCGGCCACCTGCCCTTCCCTCTGTGAGTCGTCACAACAGTCCACTGAGCGGGCGCTGCTTGTACCACGGGGCAGTGCAGGAGCAGGCCCAGCCAAACCTTTACTTAAGGACTAATGAGCTTGACTAAGTGACCCCGGCTCTGCAGGCCAGGGCCTGGCAAGGGTGGACACACAGGAAGGCTCCCCAAGGTCTAGATGGCCATTTGGGAGTCAGCGTTAGAAGAGAGAGGAAAAAGTCTGCCAGTGACAGGAAGCAACAGGGCAACACTTCAATGCCACATCAGTGCCTTGAGACAAATCAGCCTCAGGCTGGTCACAGCAGGCACAGGCATTAAAAGTTCAGAGTCAGGACATGACTAGGATTTTCTGGCCAGGCAGCTTTTCTACTCATTATATGTAGTAAGGCTCAGAAGACTGAGGACAAGAGTGTCACCCAGGCAGCCATGGAGCCACAAGTAGGTTATAGCACTCACCACCTCTGGTCTAGAACCTTCTCACAAGTAAAGCAACGAAGGGGTGAGATTTTCTATCTTAAACCCTCCTTCACGAGATGTACTGGAATGCCCTGGCCTGTAGCCCATGGAGCACTTAGGCTGCAGAGAGCTGGCTTCCATTTGAGGCGGTTTGGCCAGACCTGCCTTCTCTCTCATGGGTCTGTGGGCATCCTGTCCCTTTACATCCGTATGAAGTCATTCCTGTGTAGAAAGATACTTTTGGAGAAAGGTCAACAGTGCATCTAAGAAATATTAGCCTAAATATTAGCCTCACCAAGAAGGAAAGAAATGCAAATGAAAAGCAGCTGTCACATCTCCCCTAAAAGATGCTGACTGAGTTGAACAGCCACTGAATCAGAACTGACTCATAGATGACCCTCCAGTTGGTTTTCAGAGGCTTTAAATGACACAGGAGAAGACGGTCCATCTTTCTCCTGTAGAGCTGCCGCTGGACTTGCACTGCATGCCTTAGAGTTGGCAGCGTAACTTTTACTACCTGGCCACAGAAAGTAGAAACCCCAAGAAAGTGGACCTGTGGACACCTCTGCCTCGTCCAGGGAGGAGAGGCATGGCCGAGCCTGCCAGTCACTTATGGAGTTGCCAAGGACTTCCACTGGCAAAGCAGCAGCTTTCCCATCTACATTCTCTAAGTCAGAAGCCCCTTCTCACGGAGGGGAGAGCATACAGTGACAAGTACAAGTTTTAGAGTTAGGCCTGGGTTAAAAATCCAGTTCTTACTACAATTAACCACAACCACTGCCAAAAAGAAGGCTACTAACAGTGTTACTTCATGCTGTTGTTGTTATATACCACTGAGTCAGTTCTAAATGACCAACACCACTGACGGATGCCCACACCATCCTTTTGGCATCCTCTGTGGTACCTATCACCAACATCAGCGCTTTGTGCTACAGCCACTCACTGGGTAATGCACCGCATTGAGGAGCCTTCTCTTTTCACCAACCATGACGTGTCAGGACCAAAGTATGTGAGACATAGTCTTACCATCCTTGCTTCTAAAAGACCATTCTGGTTACTCTTCAAAGTCAGATCTGTTCATTCTCTGATTGTTGTTGTTATGTGCCATTGAGTCACCTGTAGCCTATCTTGTCCTGAGCTGGTCTCACTGGCTCCGACACACCTACCCGGATTGTCTCAGTTACTGTATCAATCCATCTCATCCAGACTCTTCCTCTCCTGTGCTGTCCCTTCACACTTCTAAGCATGATGTCCTCTACACATGGTCCCTCCTGGCCACGTGCCCAAAGTGTGTAATGGAGCTTCAAAATCTTGGCCTCCGCAGAGAAATTTGGTATCCCCCCTCTCCAAGACCAACCTGTTTGTTCTCATAGCATGTTCAGTCCATGCTCTGTCCAATATTCTTCTCCAGCACCACCACCATTCTCTAGTAACACATGGTATAGACTCAATATCTGTGCCAACACCATAATTTAAAGACCTCAATTTTCCTTTGGCTTTCCTTATTCATTGTCCAGCTTTCATGTGCATATGAAATGATTAATACCATGCTTTATGTATGTAAGTGACATCCATTCTCTTTAATAAAGTAATACTTTTGCAGCAAGTATGCCCAGCACATCATTTGATTTCTTGACTGCTGCTTCTTAGTGTTGACAGCAGATCAAAGTCAAATGGCATTATTGGCAACGTCAATTTCTTCTGTTTATCTTTAAGTTGTTCACTGGCCTAGTTGTGAGAATTTGGGGGTTTTCTGTTTGTTACACTTAAATATAGACCAGGCTATGGTCTTTGATCTTTAAACAGTAAGTGTTTCAAGTCATCTTCACTTTCAGCAAGCAAAGTTGTGTTACTTCCAGATCACAGGATGTTAATGAGTTCTTCCTCCAATCCTAATGCTGCATTCCTCCTCATATAATTCAGGTTTTCATGTTTTTTTTCTCAACATTCAGATTGAATAAGTATGGATACAACCCTGAAATAAATCTTTCCTGATTTTAAACAGTAAGTACCCTCTCAACCATTGATCTATGCAAATTATTGTCTCCTGGTCTGTGTACAAGTTCCACATGATAACAATGAAGTGTTCTAGAATTCCTGCTTTCAATGTTATCCATAATTTGGATGAGCCACACAGTTGAATGTCTTTGTATTGTCAAATGAAACAGAGATAAATGTCTTTCTAGTATTTTTTGCTTTCAACAAAGATCCATAAAACCTCAGCAATCTTATCTTTCATTCTTGACCTCTTCTGATTCCAGCTTGAATTCCTGGCAGTTCCTTTTCAATGTGCTACATCATCTAATTTTAAGTATCTTCCAAAAATCTTTAATTGTATGTGATGTTAATGGTATTATTCTGCATTAATTTCAGTAATTTCTGCATTGTGTTGAATGACCTTTTTTCTGAATGGACACAATATGGATCTCTTCCAGGCAGTTGGCAAGTAGCCGTCTTCCGTATTTCTCGCCACAGACAAGTGTTTCCAGCAATGCATCCACTTGTTAAAACATCTCAATTAGTTTTTCGTCAGTTCCTGAAGTTTTGGTTTTGCCTAATGCTTTCAATGCAGCTTGGCCTCCTTCCTTCAATCCCACCAGTTCTGGATCATATGGGATCTCTTAATGCCTAAATTGAGACCAGTTCTTTTCTGGTGCAGTGATTCTTTGCATTTCTTCTATCTTGTGTGGACCTAGCATTATTCAGTGTGTTACTCAGAGTGCCGCAACTCGAGACTTGCGTTTTTCTTTGTTATTCTAGTTTGAGA